GTTCTGTTTTCTGACATAGTCGGCAAGCAAAGTGAGATCTTGGGTGGCATCTTCATCTTATCTGGAAGGCCGTCTGGGATGGCTTCGCACGAAAATCAGGCAAGCCATCAAGGGAGTTGGGGCCGAGAGATTTAAAAAAGCGCTTGTGGTTGAACTCCGTGTTGACAAAGGTGATATGAAAACCTCTGTGGAGGAGGAGACCTTGATATGGCTTTGAGCTGCAACTGGAATACAAACATCATGAGGCTTGCAGTGGTTGCATAATGCAGAACATTTATAGTCCTAGTGAGAACTTTTCAATATGTTTGTGTGGCGGTAGTTGAGATTTCGCAATAAAATCAATTGGCAAATTAGGGAGTAATTCAACTCTTTTTGCGTATATGCAAAGCGTATGACATTTTCGTTTTCTCACACGTTTTCTCACGTGTGGCAAATTTTTAAGAAAGACATGTGGATTACCAAACTTAGTGGTGTGGAATACATGTGGACGTTTGGCTTCACATGTGAGCCAATCTATTCTGATTCCATGAATCACATACAAGATTTCTTAAAATTCATGTTGAGACATTTCTTCACATCCTTACATTCCTATTCTTATCTTTACGCCAGTTCAGGCAGTGAAATATATAATCTTGTTTGAGGAATCTTAAATGAGTGATTCAAGTTGAATAACAAGTCAATTGTATCGTAATAACAAAATAATCAGAAAGTCATTTGGGTGTGATCATATGCTTGATGTGAAAGACACATAAACTATGTAATATAAGGAATGCTAGAGAAAACTGTTTTGAAGAAAGTCCTTTGGGGCCTTTGATTGCCCAAGGTAGGATTGTATTTGGCTATTTAACACCAATTCCAACTTGAACTAAACATGAGGTTAATTAACGACGGAATTAATTCGAATTACAACTTTTTTGAGAAATTTGGGAAAATAATTAGAATTTGGGCCTCGTATAAAATTATAGTAATGATTTTAATTTTATGTAAGTATAACTCAAAGTTATTATGGAAGTATTAATATACCCTTAAAAGTACTATTACACAAAGTTGTCACTTGCAATTATTAGCTATGATCACAATGAGGAAGAATTATGAGTTCAAAGTGGATAGACCGAATAAGGATCGTTTGGAAGTTAGATATATAGATGATAATGGCAAGTGATGACTTCGTGCTATATATAAAAGTTTTATTTACATCTTCACTTTCGTAAAAAGCATAAAATAATTTTCACTTAGTATTACGGTCTAATAGTATTCATTTTCACTTGTAAGTGAAAAATTTTAGATTTGATTATAGCCGCCAAAAGCGAGTTTGAACCGTATTATTGCTAACCCATTGCGAGGCTAAGCCCACCCCTTTTCCCTAGTATAGATAATACAATTTGTTCAAAAAAAAAAAAAAAGCATAAAATAACTTCAATTATTAGACCCTGGTATATAAAAGGATCCTTTTCTTTGGAATTCTAGGGATCTCATGATCGGGATCGTTCATCGTACATCGTACGGTCAGAAATCATTTTAAAATTTAAAATTTAAAATTAAATATAAATGATACCTAAAGAAAACTAATTGTCCGATATACGATGAACGATCTCGATCACGAGATTCCTAAGATCCACAAAAAAAGTACATGGCGAGGATCCTTTTCCTATAAAAGGTTAATCAATCATGCAGCTACAATGAATATATGGGTCGCCGGATCCTTTTCATGTATAAGGTTCTTCAATCATGCAGCCACAACGAATATGGGTCGCCGGATCCTTTTCCTATATACGGTTCTTCAATCATGCAGCTACAATGAATATATGGGGTAACATATTAATGTTACGTGTCGGGTGTCCCATGTATTGGTCATGATGCACAACCACTCTACCAAACAAGCAGACAAACATTTGACGTTGGCGGGCCCATCATTTATTAGAGGGTATCTTAAAGAAACATTTCTAGTATTGTTTACTTTTAATGAAAATGATATTTTTACCTTGAAAAGTTACTCTTGGTACTATTTACTTACATTTTATTTTGTCATTTTTATTAAAGCTAAAGTTTTTGAGGATTTTTCATTAGTTTTCCTTTTATTCTTTTATATGATGCTGAGAATACTATATACTCATATAGTTTGAAAACTTAGAATTAGTTTGGGATTGTGGTACTTTAAAATAATAATAATAATAATAATAAATTTGTTTATTAAAAAATTGGAACATTAAATATGTTTGGTAAAATAAAAAAAGAATTGTTTTGAAAAAAAACTATTGTCGATGACAGTAAAAAAGACATAGAAAAACAAAAGCATGGTCAACCATGCTTCTAAAAAAGTTTTGTTTTTTTTTTCCATTGCATAGCGAACAATGCCTATTTAATGAAATTTGCAAATAACAGGTATACTCCCGCATATTTTACAAAATCACAATAATTGTTCCTTCGTTATTTTATTTGACAATTATTATATCATATTTAGTAGCATATTTTTTAAGTCATTCATATTCAGAGCAAATTTATATAAAATATTATCAAAATATTATTGACATTGTTTTTTTTTTTTTTTTGGTTAAAAGCATTTTTACAAAAAAAAAAAAAAAAGGTTTACCAAATACTCAACAATTTTGTTTTACAGTCACTTATTTACACCACACATAGAAACATTTTTTTTTTTAATTACAACAATACCAAACTAGTCCTTAGAACAATAATAATATGGGTAATTTTGAGATAGTACTAAACCACATACCGACATTTATTTATTTTTAATTAGGAACGATATTCAACACTAATGGAAGAAAGAGTTCTAAATTACATAGTCTAGCATCTAGGTTTTTCTTAGTAGAACTTGATTCACTAAATTGTCTAAATTTTTGTATGAAGAACCATTTGGCCCGGTAGCTTCTTTTGCAAGTTTCTTCCAGTCCATGACCTTATTTTTCAACTTCTTACCCTTCTCTCCCCCCATTAACTCCTTGACAAGCTTCTCTACTTCATCCCTCTTCACATCATTACTAATCTCCATCCCAATGCCCCATTCATTGCAAGTATAGTGGCAGTTCATTTGCTGGTCGGAAAAGTATGGCCAACAGAGCATAGGCACTCCTGCAGTCAGGCTCTCAAATTAGGGAGTAATTCAACTCTTTTTGCGTACATGCAAAGTGCATGACATTTTTGTTTTCTCACACATTTTCTCATGTGCGGCAAATTTTCAAGAAAGACATGTGGATTACCAAACTTAGTGGTGTGGAATACATGTGGACGTTTGGCTTCACATGTGAGCCAATCTATTATGATTCCATGAATCACATACAAGATTTCTTAAAATTCATGTTGAGACATTTCTTCACATCCTTACATTCCTATTCTTATCTTCACGCCAGTTCAGGCAATGAAATATATAATCTTGTTTGAGGAATCTTAAATGAGTGATTCAAGTTGAATAACAAGTCAATTGTATCGTAATAACAAAATAATCAGAAAGTCATTTGGGTGTGATCATATGCTTGATGTGAAAGACACACAAACTATGTAATATAAGGAATGCTAGAGAAAACTGTTTTGAAGAAAGTCCTTTGGGGCCTTTGATTGCCCAAGGTAGGATTGTATTTGGCTGTTTAACACCAATTCCAACTTGAACTAAACATAAGGTTAATTAACGACGGAATTAATTCGAACTACAACTTTTTTTGAGAAATTTGAAAATATAATCAGAATTTGGACCTCGTATAAAATTAGAGTAATGATTTTAATTTTATGTAAGTGTAACTCAAAGTTATTATGGAAGTACTAATATAGCCTTAAAAGTACTATTACACAAAGTTATCACTTGCAATTATTAGCTATGATCGCAATGAGGAAGAATTATGAGTTCAAAGTGGATAGACCGAATAAGGATCGTTTGGAAGTTAGATATATAGATGATAATGGCAAGTGATGACTTCGTGCTATATATAAAAGTTTTGTTTACATCTTCACTTTCGTAAAAAGCATAAAATAATTTTCACTTAGTATTACGGTCTAATAATATTCATTTTTACTTGTAAGTGAAAGATTTTAGTTTCGATTATAGCTGCCAAAGGCGAGTTTGAACTGTATTATTGCTAGCCTTTGCGAGGCTAAGCCCACCCCTTTTCCCTAGTATAGATAATACCATTTGTTCCAAAAAAAAAAAAAAAAAAAGCATAAAATAACTTCAAGTATTAGACCTGGTATATAAAAGGATCCTTTTCCTTGGAATTCTAGGGATCTTATGATTGGGATCGTTCATCGTACATCGTGCACAACCACGCTACCAAACAAGCAGACAAACGTTTTACGTTGGCGGGCCTATCATTTATTATAGGGTATATTAACGAAACACTTCTGGTATTGTTCACTTTTAACGAAAATGATATTTTTACTTTGAAAAGTTACTCTTGGTACTATTCACTTACACTTTATTTTGTCATTTTCATTAAAGCTAAAGTTTTTGAGGACTTTTCATTAGTTTTCCTTTTATTCTTTTATATGATGCTGAGAATATTGTATACTCATATAATTTCAAAACTTAGAGTTGGTTTGGGATTGTGGTACTTTAAAATAATAATAATAAATCTATTTATTAAAAAATTTGAACATTAAATATGTTTGATAAAATAAAAAAAGAATTGTTTTGAAAAAAAACTATTCAAAAGCATGGTCAACCATGCTTCTAAAAAAGGATTTTTTTTTTTTTCAAAAAGCATAGTGAACAATACCTATTTAATGAAATTTGCAAACAACAAGTATACGTACTCCCGCATATTTTACAAAATCACAATAATTGTTCCTTCGTTATTTTATTTGGCAATTATTATATCATATTTAGTAGCATATTTTTTAAGTCATTCATATTCAGAGAAAATTTATATAAAATTTTATCAAAACACTATTGACATTGTTTATTTTTTTTTTTGGTTAAAAGCATTTTAAAAAAGAAAAAAAAGTTTACCAAATACTCAACAATTTTGTTTTACAGTTGCTTATTTACACAGCACACAGAAACATTTTTTTTTTTTAATTACAGTAATACCAAACTAGTCCTTAGAACAATAATAATATGGGTAATTTTGAGATAGTACTAAACCACATACCGACATTTATTTATTTTTAATTAGGAACGATATTCAACACTAATGGAAGAAAGAGTTCTAAATTACATAGTCTAGCATCTAGGTTTTTCTTAGTAGTACTTGATTCACTAAATTGTCTAAATTTTGTATGAAGAACCATTTGGCCCGGTAGCTTCTTTTGCAAGTTTCTTCCAGTCCATGACCTTATTTTTCAACTTCTTACCCTTCTCTCCCTCCATTAACTCCTTGACAAGCTTCTCTACTTCATCCCTCTTCACATCATTACTAATCTCCATCCCAATGCCCCATTCATTGCAAGTATAGTGGCAGTTCATTTGCTGGTCGGAAAAGTATGGCCAACAGAGCATAGGCACTCCTGCAGTCAGGCTCTCAATTGTTGAATTCCAACCGCTGTGAGTTAAAAATCCTCCTACTGATGGGTGGTTCAGGACTTGCTCTTGTGGGCACCAACTTGCTATTAGACTTCTTTCTTTTGTTTCGGCAACAAACTCAGGCTGCAAAATTGCGGATTCACCAACTACAAGATCAGGCCTAATTACCCAAAAAAAGGGCAATTTACTATTTGCAAGTCCCCAACCAAACTCGACAAGATCTTCAGGCTTCATGACTGCTACACTGCCAAAATTTACATACATGACAGAATCTGGCGCCTTAGCATTTAGCCACTCAAGGCATTCAGTTTCTTCTTTCCACAGACTGTATCCAATATTCAATGGGTGTTCTGTTATCTGGTTGAGATGCAATTGAAGAGGGCCAATGGGATAAACAAGTGGAAGCATAGATGAGAGCGCATCCAACACATCTGTCTCCAAGGCATCAAAAGTATGAATAACAATTGCTGAAGCTTCATGAGCTCGATCCGTTCCTTCCATCTTGAAGTTAAATGCGATGTCATCGGGATTTGTGGTTCGAAAAAAGGTCGGGAGATCCTTTAGACGGATATCTTTCATTCCTGGAATCCAGTCTATAACTGTTTCCAGATATCCATTTGTCAAACAGCTCTCATCTACAACAAGAAAATTTCATTTGCATTTTTAGGAAATAAGCAAGAGTTAACCACAAATTAAGCAATTGCTTCAACATTTATATATATTTCACCTTTGAGTGGTGCAAGTCCTTTTTGAACCAAAGTGCGAAATTGCATAAAGCCCATGAAAGCGCACGCTGCAAAAGTGTAGAGCAGCACTGAAGGGATTCCAACCTCTTGTGCAGCTGTGATTGTGAATGGGGACAAGAAACCATCTGAAACTATGCAAGTCACTGGTGGATTGTTGGATGTTGATATGGCATCATTGTTGAGTTTATTGAGGAGGCCACGAAAGGGGGCCAAGAAATACTGCTTTCTAATAGAGTCAGCAAGCAAAATGAGATCTTGGGTGGCATCTTCATCTGAATCTGGAAGGCCATCTGGGATGGCTTCGAACCGGAAATCAGGCAAGCCATCTAGGGAGTCAGGTCCTAGAGATTTAAGAAACCGCTTGTGATTGAACTCCGTGTTGACAAAGGTAATATGAAAACCTCTACTGTGCAGGAGTTTTGCGAATTTTAGCATTGCCTTGATATGGCTTTGAACCGGAATTGGAATGCAGACAGCGTGAGGCTTAGTAACTACTGCTGTGGCATCCATTTTAGATAATGTGTCTGCATTGCAGTGCAGTGCAGATTATTTATAGTACTGCTGTGCTAGTAGTGAGCTACTTTTCAACATATATGTGGTTCAAGTTGAATGATAAACACACTCTTTTTCTCCTTCTGCACATCTTGTTAAATCATTTCTGTTGTTTTGTTTGATTTAGTCAACCTGATGACAAAAAATAAAGAGTAGTATGTAAGAGACTAAAAATGGTGTGTGAAAATCAACTCTCATTGCTAAAACTTTTTGTAATCATCTTAATTTTCATTGGTTATATGTGAATTAGTTCTTCAAGTACTTAGAGAGCGGTTGTCGCTATGTAGAGAGCCAGCTAACATTGTATTCCATTGCCAGCAGTAAACCTATTTCTTCTTAACCCTTCTCTAAGCACTGCTGACTAACCCCGTTCGGTCAATTTCCGCAGTAGTTGGCCTGTTTTCATGGTTTTTGGCTTTTTATTATTTTTCATTCTTCTAAATTTTATTGTTTTTAGTTCCTCCTACTACTAGTTTGCTTATATACTTTCTCTAAGCTTCAAAACCACGAAGTTGGCATAATATCGTTGCTTCTTTATTTTCATATTCAAGAACTTCATTCAAGGTCTTTTGCTAGAAGTTGTGTTAGTTAGATCGAACTATTTGAAATGTTTTCATAGATTATATATATATATATATATATTATATACTAAAACTCAGTTTCAGTTACTGTTCATTGACAATAAAATGGCGAAATTGCCCTTAAAAATTTTCATTTGTTCGTTATCTTTCCTGCCTTCCACGGTTTAAATGACGGTTGTGCCCTCACTTCCATGCGTCTCTCATCGCCGTTTTTCTGCTTTCTCTTCGTTTTTCAGTTCCTTTTGACTGCTTTCAATCGATTTTTTTCCCCATTACGTTTGGTTCTCTTCTTTTCCACCCGTCTGCTCTCTCTTCCTCTCTCTTCTAGATTTAGCTATTTTCCCCTATCGTCTGCTCTCTCTTCCGGATTTAGCTGTTTTCCCCTATTTTGTGTCTTTTGGCTGATTTTGTGAGTTATTTGGTTTTCTTGCTACATGGGATTTCAATATTTTTTTTTTTCGTGGTTTATGTGTGGTTCTTTGATGTGTTTTGATTTTTTATTTCAGAAAAAGTTAAGAATCTGATCAAACGTTTATCGGTGAATTTTCTATTTTTCTGATTGTGTGTGATTTAATTTTTTTCAAGCACTGGGTGTACTTTTCTGATGTGCTTTGATTTTTAGTTGCAACAAAAGTTGTTGCTTGAATTTCCAGTTTTTCTCTAAAGCTTTGCAAGCTCTTTATCATCAAGGTATATAATTTTTTTTCTTTTTCCTGAATATTTTGTTGCTGTCTTTTTTTTTTTTTTTTTTTTTTTTTAGGCGGAGGGACTATGTTTTGTTTGCATATGAGTTTTTTTGTGGTTTTGTTTGGTTATTTCAGTTTTGACCATTTGCATATAGTTTTTCTCAATAAATGATAAAAGAAAGAGATTATCATGACTAGCTTGCTTCTTTTGGGTTACTAAATGTTTAGATGCATTGGTAAGGCAAAAACATCTAGAAAAAGGATATGAATCTTCTCCGGATCCCTTTTTTGGGGATCTCGGAGATCAAGGTATAAGGATAGTTCATCAAAAATTATGCAGTCACAATTAAATGCTTTTTATATTTTTAAGAGTAAAGTAATTTCGTTTTGCATAAAAAATATTTAATTGTGGTTGGACGATCTTTGATGAATGATTCTTGTGTCTTGATCCCCAAGATTCAGGGATCCGAAGAGGATCCAAATCCCTAAAAAAAATGTGAGTTAAACCCTATGTGGCACGACTAGTCTATCTTTTAGTCCAGAAAAGATAAAATAATGATAAAAAAATTGGTGGCAGGACAAAAAAATATTAAAAAATATGATAAAGCAACTTATGGCAGGAAAAATTGATGGCAGGACCAAAAAAATATTAAAAAAAATGTAATAAAGCAACTGATGGTAAGGCAAAAAAATCTTGAAAAATGTGAGTTAAACCCGGGCACGACAAGTCTTTCGTAAGGCACCGGCGTGGCACGACAAGTCTTTCTTTTAGTCAGAAAAAGATAAAATAATAATAAAAAATTTGGTGGTAGGACCACAAATATATTTAAAAATGTTCAACAATGGAAGGCTATTTGCGTGCGTCGTGGTGCCAATGAAGCGGCACACAGATCGGCTGGCCGCGGTCTTAGTCTGTCACAACCGGTTTTGTAGTTCAAAGAACCGTCTAATGTAATTTCTGATCTTATTTTAAAAGATATTTCTAATGCTTAATTTTGTTTGGTGCGAGATTTTTTTCCCTTCATTCAGGTTTTTTCGGAAATTTTTTTATCAAGGGCCCATTGTTATTGTTGGCATCTTTTCCATTCTTTTCCATTGATTGTACGTGAATATCGTACTCGTTTTAAAAAAAAAAAAAAAAACAATGTGATAAAGCAAAGTATGTTTGTAAGCTCTTCTCCTTTCTTTCCTGCACGTTTACTGTCTTATTTCCCTTTCTTTCTGCTTCTTCTGCTTTCTGCTTTTTCTCCTATTTTTCTTTCATTTTTAGCTTCCTTTTTCTGTTGATCAATGCTGTTTTATCTACAGCTTCAACCAAAAAACTTTTTGCTCGTGTTAAAGAATGTTGGCATGTGTTATCCAAATCAAATAAGTATTGATTTACATTTTTTTGTGCGTAAATCGTTGATCCTAACATGAATTCCCTATTCTTTTCGTGTATATAAACAATAGGCTCTTTAGGATTACTGTCAAGGGGGAATACTAGGTTAGCCATTTTGTATACTGATGATAAGGCATTTGATAATGTCTATTTTGTAAATTATATTTACTTAGACAGCTTTGTAAAAATATTTGTTTCATTTTCTGTTTAGTATTTATAACACTCTTTGCATATTTATATGTTAAAAACATAATCTATAGTCATATTTTCGCTCCCGCAACAACGTGCGGGTAAAATTTACTAGTGTGTGTGTGTGAGCAACAATGCGCTAGTTCTTCTATTCGTGTTGATATTTTTGGAGTTTTAATCAAAATTTTCTATGACAAATAAGATCAATTTAATTAAAAACAGTAACTAAATAAAACTGAAGATGTAGTAGCAGGCCAAACATGTTGCTATTTCTTTTGAACCGATAACTGTGATACATGCAATACATGTCTCTCATTAGTTCCAATGCACAGCATCTAGATCTTTTTAAACTGAATTTGATTCACTAATTTTTCGAAGTTTGCAGATGAAGAACCCTGTGGACCAGTGGCTTCCTCTGCCAATTTTTTCCACTCCATGGCCTTATTCTTCATTTGCGTACCCTTCTCTCCCTCCATTAACTCTCTAACAAGCTTCTCAACATCATCTCTCTTGACAACATTATTGATCTCCATACCAATGCCCCATCTTTTGCAAGTACAGTGACAGTTCGTCGGCTGATCAGCAAAGAACGGCCAACACAGCATAGGCACTCCTGCAGACACACTTTCCAGCGTAGAATTCCAACCACTGTGTGTCAAAAATCCTCCAACTGATGGATGGTTAAGGACTAGCTCTTGAGGGCACCAACTCGCTATTAGACTTCTCCCCTTAGTTTCATCCACAAACTCGGGTGGCAAAATTGCTGATTTACCAACTACCAAGTCAGGCCTAATTACCCAGAAGAAAGAAACCTTGCTATTTGCAAGTCCACAACCAAATTCCACAAGTTGTTCCGGGGTCATGACCGTTATGCTGCCGAAATTCACATAAACAACTGAGTTTGGTGCCTTATCGTTCAGCCATTCAAGGCACTCGGTTTCTTCTCTCCATAGGCTATATCCCAGGGACTTCAAAGGGTGTTGTGGTATCTGATTGAGAAGTAACTGGAAAGGGCCAACGGCGTAAACAGGTGGAGACATAGATGAGAGAGCATCCAAAACATCTAGTTCCAATGCATCAAAGGTATGTATAACAATTGCTGAAGCTTCATGTAGTCTGCCCATTCCTTCAAGTATGATATTCCAGATTGCATCATTGGGATTTGTTGTTACAAAGTTGTTAGGAAGATCCCTTAAACGAATACCTTCCATTCCTGGTATCCAATCTACCTCTTGGTCTAAAAAGCCATTCGTGAAGCACCTTTCATCTACAAACAGCTAAGTAATGCTTTATTAATAAAAAGTATCTTCATTTGCTTGATTAACAAATACAAATTCTCTCATGGCCAATGCTACAATTGTCGTTCATGAACTTTGAAATTAGGACGTCTCCAACAAATTCGAAATTGGGTGCTACTAGATTAATTGGCCATTAGCAACACCACTGTTGATTAATAAAAAAAATAGAATTAATAACCAAATTGTAAAATTATTATTAGCACTTCAAAAAGTAACCGTGCTTTATTTCCTCCCTTTATTTTTTGGGTAATTACTTATGCTAATTACCACTTTTTCTCACACTGCACATCCTTATTTATTTTTACTATTGAGTTGGTTGAATAAATCAAAGCATAATCAAGTAACAAAAATAAGCATGTGAAATTATTTCCCTTATTTTTTTCACTAGGAAGGAGTGTAAGATGAATTTTTGTAGATTGAATAATAGTTTCCTAAATTTGACCAAAAAAATTAAATATTAGTTTCCTAAAATCAAACAATTGCTTTAATTCTTTACCTTTGAGGGGTGCTAGTCCTCTTTCCACCAAAGCAGGATACTGCATATAGCCCATGGTGCCGCTTGCTGAAAAAGTAAACACGAGTGTGACGGGGATGCCAAGTTGTTTAGCTGCAGGGGCCGTGAATGGCATGAGACCATCTGAAAAAATGCATGTCACTGGAGGAATGCTACTACTGTTGTTGAGTTTCTTTATCAGATCAACAAAAGGTGCCAAGAAGTTGTTTGTTGACGGAATCTGCAAGCAAATTGAGGTCTTGGGTGGCATCTTCATCCGAATCCGGTAGGCCATCAGGGATCGTTTCAAACCGAAAATCATCAGGCAAGCCATAGAGGGACTCGGGTCCTAGAGATTTAACTAACCGCCTGTGATTGAACTCAGTGTTG